TTCAACAGATTTAATATTATGATTTGTTGACAATTTGAAGATCTAAGAACACCTCCCCATATTTGCACCATCAAAATTTGAAAAAAAAAAAACATACTTGTTCATATCTTTCATTGCAGCCAGCTTTAGGGCCCATATAAGAAGAAGAACAAAAAAAAGGAAGGACAAGAGAGGAAAGATTCTTTCCCCAACTTTTCCTCTCCTCCCGGACAGACCTTGGGGTCTGGACTTATATTCTCTCAAGGCAGACCTGTAGGCCCCACATATTAGGCAGGACTAACCAAAACCTCTTTTTCAAACGAGTACAACTCTCTCTTTGCCATTGCCATGGATCTGTTGCTCAGTTCATGGATTTTTACTTGGAACTTCCTTATTAGACATGCAGGGAGTGGATTGATGCGATGTGTTTTTCCTCTATTAGTGTTGAGGAAGATGGACAATAAACGTAAAACTCAACCTACGTTTTATAGCCAAACCTAAGCCTAGATAAAGGAGGAAAATTGTGTTAGACCCTTAACAGTCAACCTAAAACATTGACGAATCTCATATGGACATGGACAATAGTGTTGAGGAAGAGGCCTTTTCCTCATTATACATGCCAGTAAGGTTCCATTGATAAATTTATTCATCATAATAGAACTTTTATTTGATTTTGAAGTAGATATTTTAAAAAGCTCTAAACCCGATAAGTCCTCTTTCCATTCAAAATAAATTATTGTTCGACAACAAATAGTACAGATACCATATACCTCCTTCGTTAAAGAAGACAATAAAGATGATAAAAGCAACCACCCAGCTTCTTTTTCAACCATGGCTGCCACAGGATTTCGACTGTGTTCAGTCAACATTCTCTTTGAAACACCAAGCACTGATCTAGGCAACCTGCTTAAAACAAGGGGATGCTTATTAATACAGCATAACAAGGACAATCATTCTGTCACTAACTAGTATGCTGACCATAGTGAAAGTCAGACTGCAAAAAAGTAGGAATGGCACCACAATGCTAAAAATCCACAGAGCAATTGGTTCAGTCAACAAAGTTTAGACAAAAGAGATCTCAAGTAACCTAAGTTGAAACATCCATTACGTCCTTCCACGAAGAGAACATTGTGTGGCAGTACTAATAAATATATAAAGCATGCAAAAATGCTAGAAACTATGCTATTAAATAGAAAACACCACCGCCACAAGGTGATCAAGTCCCTAGATCTGTTATGAGAGTGCTGCTTTTTAAGCTGTTCAGCATCTTGAAATCTGAATGAATGATACTAATAGGAAAAAGGATACAAGCAGAAGGACAGATCATTTTGAAATCACTTCGAAATCTCAGCTTATCTAGCTTCAAATAAAACAGAAAAGACAGTACAGGAGAGCAGAACAAGTTACCTAGCAGGGTAACCTAGAGGTAATTTTGGTGAAATAGTTACCAAAGCTGCCAAGACAGAAGCCTGCCCATGCAAAGAATCCAGCTCAAACTGCAAACTGCCTCCCTGCAGACAATGTATCAAAACTAATTGATATGGTCAAGCTGCATGCCATGCTGAAGGTCTCTCTCTCTCTCTATCTGACTTCCAATAAAGTCAAAATTCAACTAAAGTATTTGCAGATAAATACAGATTGCTGATTAGATGGACTACAGTGATTAGCTGACAAGTTTATGAGCATGTAGCAACAGCTTGTATTTGCCTCAACAGCTATGGCATTCAAAAACTAAGACAACATTTGGCATATTTTATATCATTCGGCACAAATGGCCAACTACCAGCTGACAGGATAACTGTTGATAACATCCACTTAATAACCTTTTTATGGGAAAAGAAAGTTTTATTGAAGAGGAAGGTGTGAAATGTAAAACAGAGGACAAAACATCCTTCTCAAACAAAAGGACCACCTGATAAGCTAATACATTATGAAAGTAATCACACTATTAATCAAAATCGTTCACACATTATCACATGCATTCAACTCCTTATTAAGACTAATAGGGATACAACTAAACTCCTACACAGAGTTAACAGCCTAAAAGATTGCTAATTTTTATTTTTTTTTTGGGTAACAGAATGCTAATTCTAATTAACAACATAATAAACTACATGATCAAATCAAATGAATGCAAAATAAAATATATTATTAAAATAATTTACTTTTACCTTTTCAAAAGATAAAGAGTTCTAATTTAAACTACGTAATGAAATCACGTGCATGCAAAATAAAATATATTATAAATTACTTTTACCTTTTCAAAAGATAAACTTTCCCTTGAAGCAGTGAGAGTGGTAACCCCGTATGAAGTTAGCCCACCAACACAAGTTGGATCAACTTCAGCCAATGCACGTAGTGTCAAAGCAGCCTCTACCCGAACCTAACCATATATTTCAAACATATATTACAACAAATCACGGAACAAAAGCTTAAACACAAGAATACTGCAATGACACCACCTTGAGGGAAATTAAAGGTAAATAGAAGTGTAACAATTTCAACTATAACTTTCTTGATAGAAGAAAACTTATTGAAATCAGAAGGACACAGAGAAATAGCCAGGATTCCTACAGAAACTGATTACTCATGAACATAGAAAAGCCTTAGTGCCAAAACCCCATGGAGTTGAAGTTATCCATCAAGTAACAGGTCATGCCAAAAGCTTCCACCAAAAAAATCCATTAGACTAATAACATCAACAAAGCGGAGGCCCATCACTACCATGTGCTTATATTTGATATAAAAGAAAAGGAGGCAATGAGTATCAAAACTCTTGCCTTCTTGATCACAATGTGTCTAATACCATGTAAACGAGATAGTCATCATTAAAGCTTCAGCTGTACTAATGGGCCAAAAACTATATATCTCAGGAGGCCATCCTAGTGTGCTTGTGTATTTCCCATGATTTTCACCTTTACTCCCTCAACTTGTGGACAACTTACGGACTTTTAGGTCCCTCCCACAATATCAAATGATTATTAAAAGCCACTAATTACTCTATAATAGGGGAAACCAACCCTCAAAACGGCATACAAAATATGTCAAATTTCAAACACCTCAAAATTGGTAACAGGTCCACTAGCAACTGTAGGGTATGCAGTCATACAAGTGTGACAACTAACAAGTGTCCACTTTTCGTTAGGAGAATAAAAAAATAATTGTCAGACAAAATTTTTTGTGTGAAAAAAGTTTCAACAGAAATAAAAGCCTGAAATTATGAAAGCAAAAACTTCATTCTAAAAGCAAAAAAACAAAAAAACAAAAAAACAAAAAACAAAAAACGAAAGTGTGCCATTGGTCATCTAACTTTATCCAAGGTTTCAGTTTGGTCCCTTAATTTTAAAAAGTATCTTTTTAGTCCTCTAAACCTAACATCGTTAGTCTCAAAAGATGATTTTTTTTTGTACCAATCATTGTTATTTAGAAAAATAAACTTAACATGTAAATATTTGAAAAATGTTTTGTCAACATTTACAATTTTAATGTCAATATTTTTTGTTAATGAAACTAATAGTATGAGGGTTACCAGACTGAAAAGACACTTTACAGAATTAAGGGACTAAAAAGAAACCTTGTATGAGGTTAGAGGACTAAAGATGCACTATTGCCAACAAAAATAACATAACATTTTTAAAAATGAAAACATAAGTTTGAAGACCACTGAACCACAAAAATGATTTCAAAATTTCGGGATTCTTTACAATAAATCAGACATTGGACTCAATCAAAATTTTTGATCTCACACAAACATGGAACAGCACTCCCTGCAAGGAATCCATTCCCCGCCAAATCAGTGTAAACATACATTTTCCTTGAAGTATTTGATGAACTTATGGCCTGCTTCTCTATCACAGCCCCCCTCCCTCCCCACAACAAGTAACATGAAAGATTATGTTTAAAAACATAACAAATACATAATACACAACAAACAAGCATAGGAATATTTAAAAACTTATTATTTATTACTCTCTCCAGTCCTAAATATAAGAGCTATTTATGAGACTTTGGTCTTAAATAAAATATATCAGTCCACTTTATCACTCAAATTCATAATTTTTTCCCTAAATTATCAATATTAATTGCAAATATTAAAGGAATTTTCATCAAAGGAAAGTTCCAACACAAATGATTAAATAGGGTATTTTAGGGAAGCAACGCGTATTTTTTAACAAACTTAAATAATTTTCTTAATGTCTGCAAATTAGTTATTTGGCTTTTATATTAGGGAATAGAGCTAGTACTATATAGAAGAAATAAAAAGGCTCACTAGCTTTGACGAATCAGACACTGCTGCAACTACAGTGTTGTCAAGAACTTCCTTAAATTCCAGTGGGACCTGCAAATTAACAAGAATTAAGTTACAGTCCACCTCACACAAAACTAGAAATATCCATCGCATATGCCCCTGCTTTATAGTAATAGGAACATCCCATTTAAAATACTTTTCCCATACAAACATATAGTTATGTATACCTCTCCCAGTGTTTTTAGAGTATATGACAGAGTACGTAATGCGGCCACCTTCACAGAAGCACCTGCCTCTAGGGATTGAAGCTGCGAGTTGCCAGAAAGCGAAGTAGAAAATTTTATACACATATCTTTAAGAAGGCATCAAAACTGAAATACGGTGACTAATGATTTAAATTAAGTAACTTCAGCACACCTTCATCCCTAGAAAAACCAAAAAGTTCCGTTGAGTAGGTTCTGTCATTTGATCTGTTAAACCAACACGAAGGATATAAAGAACACAAGCCTGCAGTTGCAACAAGTGATGCATGATCAGAACTAAAACCTGCCAAAGCCTCAGATAAAAGTGACAGATATGACAGGTTTTGACCAGACCCTTCCTGTTAAACTCTATCTGGAATTTTAACAAGAGGGCATCGCTCCTGACGAGATATACGTGACAGATTTTGTATAAGCATATGATGCCCAAGTGAGTCTATTCATGTTTGTCTAGCACTCATGATACGAACATTACACTGAAAGTTAAGGTTTAGAATCGAGTCCAATTTAGTGCATGACGAATGGAAAACCAAACACACTCATAATCTCACAAGTAAAGGAACCAACCATTCCACATGCCAAAACAAACTAGCACTAAAGCTATGCCTACAGTTAACAGATCAACTTCAGGAAGTAAAAAATAATCTATCCATCTGCAGGAAAGAAAACGTTAAGTACTTGGCTGGGTAAAGTGGAATTTTTAAGAAAAAATAATAATAGGCAAAATGGCTCCAGATTCATTGACAGTGAAGGGTTAAAACAAACCTAAATAATAAAACATGGTACGTATACATGTATATATGCTGAATTTTCCTGAGGAGGCGAAAGGATCATTCTCTCCAATAAAACAATAAATGAAAAGATGCAGAAGTTAAATAAAAAGAACAGTAAAAATATCAACAAAGCAGGATGTAACGTCTTTTTTTTTCCCCTGGCCTCTATCGTTTATTTTTAATATATTTTCATGGAAAATAAATATTTGTCCAAGAAAAGTTGGCTCTGATACCACTTGATGATGAAAGGGAAATGAAATAGGAAATATAGGAGAATATGGAGAGAATGAAGAATTAACAACTGTATGAACCATCATGAATCTGTTTCACCCCTCAATGCAGCTATATAAGAATTATTTAACCACTAACTAACTCCCCTGACAGCAAGTCATCAAGAAGCCTGTTATTTACAATCTAGCACTTTTTTTTGGGCTACCTGCAATCTAACAGACTTAACTAATTCAGTCACCAACTATTTCTACCCGACATAATCTAGCATGCACTGGATGCCATTGGAAAAAAGGTAACATCGAAAATATTATTGAGAATCATCCATCACATGAATAGAGTATCCCATCCATAAAACACCACAGGCCACCTATAACAAGGGTAAGCCATCAATTCAGGCCCTCAACGAAACACCAAGAGCTGATGTCTGAATAAATGGCTAATATCTTGTACCCTGCCTATTTTTTCTCCCCTCTCCTCTAATAAAGCAATCTTCTTACATCTATGTAGACACAAAGGTAAAGCAAATCCAATCAAGCCCTCAATGAAAGGCCTATAATTAATCTGCTCTGGATAAACCAGAAAAGCATGAACTTTACTCTATCTCAGTGTTTCAGTACACTTCTTTATTACTAAAATCATCCCCCTTTATCGACTTGTAAAATAGGGTAAAACACTGCCAATCCAGGACTAAATTTTCACTTTACTTGCATATGCTAAAGAAAGCCAAAGAGCAAAGTATAACTTGCAGTGGAGATTTGACTAGGGGTTTTAAGAAAAAGAGGGGGAAATATATTGAGATTCGAGCAACTACCAGTGCATTAGCATCAACTGAGGCATCAGCATCAAGCATTTCCATAACTTGTGATGCAAAGTTTTGAAGCTCACTATCTGGATATAGGTATTTTATACGTAGGGCCTGCAAAAGAGAATTAACTAAGAATGAAAATCAAAAGCAAAGCAAACACATCTATCACAGATTCCTCGGCTTAAAAACTGATCTGAGTATCGCAAAGTCAAAAGAGTGATGGAAAAATCACAAATACGCAAGCACACATGTTCAATCTCCACCCCAAAGGTACAGATAAAAAGGGGAAAAACATTTTCCTAAACAAAAAATGAATACAATACCAATAACAATAAGTCATGGTGTTTTCACCGGAAAGGGGGGGAAAAGTTAAGTTGTGGTGCAAAGATAAATATAAAACAGCAGCTTGCATACACTATAGGACCCTCTAGTTTTTTGAGTCCATACTGTCCTTCAATGTATAAAAATGCACGCAATTAAATCTTTCAATCTTAGTTCTGTTCAAGTGAAGACCAAGATGATGTTTTGGTTCAAGTAGTATCTCCCTTGGCCTTAGTCAAAATTTCACTCTGTTCCCTCCCTCACAGAGATATCTTTCTTTTAGTATAAGTAAAGCAGCAAACAACTAATATTCATCTGCAACAGATAGCCCCATCAACAAGAGGAGGGAGTTCAAAAGAAAGGAGAGAACAAGAGAAGATTCAATAGAAGTCTCAAAATTCACCTGTAAAAAGAATACCCAAGATAGTGTGAGTCCAACCCGAACATTTCTGCAATGTACTCCACTTGCTGCAACACAACTAGTGAATGTCAGAACTAACAAAGACTAAAAGAAAATGAGATGGCTGTATTATTATAACGAATCCCAATCAAAAATGGAGGGGAAAAGAAGGTATTTCATCCTGAGAAATGCACATCTTTTATCGCATATGAACATTTGTAATGACATGCATAACCATCAACAGAAGCAGATTAAACGAATAAGAAAACAACCATAAAAATTCATTAGCCCTCACATCACGAGAAGCAAAAGCTTGAGTTTATCATGGATACAAGGTGCCATATGCATGGCATAGTCCCATCTTGTACTCCCTAGACGTAAAGATAGAAATCCCAGCGGTCATGCCATAGTAAAACACTTGCAACCAGAACGTTCCGTGTGATCACCAGTGCTTCAGTAGAAAGACCCGGCATTAAATTGGTTTCCCTTTATGTGCACTCACAAAAAGCAGCAATACAAGAAGTCGGCACATATTAAAGGCGGAACTGTTGAAGATATTATTAAACCAATCCTGAGGAATCACCAACTAACACAAGCTTTCGGAATAAATTGGTCCATGACATGGTATGAGGGCTTCTAGGACCAAATAGTCAAGAGTTCAATCCTTTCTACCCTCATTCTCTTAATTGAATTATTAATGTCAGCACAAAGTACAGTGGGCCAATACTTCATCAATGCTTCTAGACCAAAGTGCTCTCATATGAAGGGGAAGAAGTGTTAAAGATATTAATAATATTAATAATCTTGAGTCTTTTGGGATCAATTGGTCCTTGACGAGTAACCAGAAAAAAGAAATATTATCAAGCAAAATTGTGGCGACCCAGTCAAGAATATACCTTTTCTGAAAGCTAAAATTAAATGCTTCTGCAGTCCACCTTCTAATTTTTTTGCTGGAGGGGAAGGACCCTTTCCTCTTGGCTGGACCTACTCAGATGCAGACAGAAGTAAAGAAAGTTGTTTGATCAAGGAAAAAACAGAGAGAACTAGTGTGTTCAAACCTGTGCCTCAGGATTCATTCCAAGAGCAAGCAAGGAACCTAAAGCCTCAGAAAACGCATCCCGGACAGATGACACAGGATCCTCAAGGGCCTATTAGAAGCAGCGCCACAAAGATATAAAAATAGAGATTTAGACTCAAAGAGGCCACATTACACTTATGAAAATGAAATTGAGAACAGGAACACCTGCCTTGACACAATAAGAGGCTGAATTGTCAAGCTCAGCCACCCCTAATCCTGGACCTCCAATGTTCGCAAACGCATTCAAACATCTGGCAGCAGCTATTCTCACAGCAAATGACTTATCTCCCATTGCAGATCGCACAATGATACGGTATGCCTCTGCATATGCTGATGAAGCAGCATTACCACCAGAGCCTTCCAAAGCATTCTGAAGCATATGTAAAGCTTCAAGTCTCACAAACTCCTGAAATTTAAGGGACAAAGGAGATTCATACAAGTGGAAGGATGGCCAAAACTATGATAGAGGTGTTTACATCAGAGCACAAATTTTAAATCAAGCCTAATATAACAATTTGAACAGCATCTCCACACCCAAAGCCAATTTGAGCTTCAAATAATTGTGTTCCCCAATAAAAGAAAGCGGCAAAAAGCTATTACGTTGGTTTGTTTACCTCCTTTTCATATAAAATAAAGCCACATTAATTAACCACATATGCATAAATCAGTACATAGAAACTGTAAAAGCAGAAATACCAATCTAGAATTGAAAATAAATTATTAAAAGAGAGAGACTAAAATCTTCTCAAGTCTAGAAACTAAAGAAAATATGTTCCAAAGGCCACAGCATGAAGTTACACAACTTTTTTTTTCCAAATACTAGTAGGGTTTGAATTGTTGACCACTATACATACCCCACCTTTATCGCCTATGCCAGCCTCAAGTAGTCACAGTTGTATATTTTAATAAAGGTATGTTTTACCACTGCTGGAGGAAAAAACCTATATGTCCCACCTAAAAAGATACAACCTACTAGAAATGTTCCAAATCTCAAGGCAGTATAGATGACTAACTATCAAAATGCCGCATGAAGCAAACATCAAGTGAATGAGCCCTATAAATCTTCAGTCTTAAGTCATGATCAATAGCCAGCTAAAGCGTAACTCAATAGAAACCTTATGGAAAAAAGAAGATAGATGGGATTAAGAACTTGAGCTCAAATGTTAGAAATATGGACAGAATCAAGCACCTAAACAAGGAAAAATATATCATCAGTCTTAGACCATTTGAAACCCTCCCCACTGAAAAGCATATTTTTTTACTGAGGTTTTCGTCTACAGGTATCATGATGATGGAAGGGAATTAAAGATTGAAGTTATGACCATTTGAAGTTATATGGAGAAGGAAAATGGATTCAAAGAAACTGAAGAATACTTATTTAACTGTAGAATCAATTTTCTTGGACAGAAGAAAACAAATATTCATAAATCAAGAACAAGATTGAAAAGGGGCCATTTTTTCTCTTCCTTATGTTTATATGCCCTTTCATTTTCTGCAGTATAAGATTTCAAGTTGAACAGCAGAGATGCCAGCTAAAAGGAAATACCTCATTAAATTTTAAAAGTTTGGATGCTATGATTGTAGTTTCTAGTAAACCTGAAGTTATCCGTCTGCCAAAATGCTTATACAATTCTCCCAAGCATTGTGCAGCACCTACAGAATCATATTCAGAAAAATTGTAAGGAACAGACACAGACATAATTTAAATGCAAACGACAACAAGAGGATTAATAAACTATAGAAAGGTATGTAGCATGAGATGTACGTAAGAGAATCATAGCAAGTAATGTTAAAAGTGGAAAATTTGAGGTTTTGACCAATTCCATGGATTACTTTTAGGAAATGATAGCTTAAATATGGCATATTAAATAAGCCTAACTTGTTTGTACTCTCAGTTTATCTCTCTTCTTGTTGATAGAGACCAGAAGTCTAACCAAGCTCTAATTTCAAAAAGTGTAACATCTAACTTCGTTTAATATTTTTCTTCAAATTTTTAGTCATAAGTGAATTAGGAACTTTCTCCTAGTCGTAAAATGTGGAATAATTAGTACTTTTCTTTCTGCTAGTGTTTCATATTTGCCTCACTCTGCAGGCAACTTTGAAAAATTAAGTAAATCTTTAAAAACAAAAAAACAACTAAAAACAAAATAAGGCAAGTTTCGGCTTGGTTTAAAGCTCTAGATATCCTTTCTAATATATCAATAGATATTAATAAATTAATTGATTAGCATCACCCTAATTTCCTTAAGTAAATTGATTAGTATCACCCTAATTTCCTTATGTAAATGCAGACTGACAGTGAACGGAAACATACATCTATGAGTCAAACTGGAAAGAAAAAATAATACTAAACAAGCACTACATAAAACGAAAAAAGTAAGAAATGTAGAATCCTAGAGTCAAAGCGAAAGCCTCTAGAAATCCAACCTGAGTAAATCAGCAGGCACCTATTACGGTTTTCCTCTAGTTTTGACCTTCTTTTTTTTCCCCTTAAAATGTAAAGCACCATCTGAACTTAACCATTTAAACTAATGAATCCTGAACCTCAAGAATTAAGTTAAATGTGTGAAAATTGTCATTCACGCTAGACAATCACCGTAAACGGATGCCAAGATTGGAAGTTAAAAAGACAACTGCCAGCTTTCTCATCAGAATTAAACAAATATCCGTATGAATAGATAATTACCGGAAAATATCCAAAAGTCATATTTAAATTTTAGACCATAAAACTTTATTTGGAAATGAAAGTATTCCTAGTAAATGAATGATAATACAGAGTTGAAAGCATACAGAAGCACCACATACATGTCAAAAACTCTACAGCACCCTTCTTGCCCCAATTAGAAAGATTAGCTAGCTCTTGTATGATCACAACAAAAACTGACAAGAACACCTAGCCAACTCAATGAAAAGTAAGCTTGACATTATGCATGGGCACCCCCACTTACTCAGTAGAGAAATTGAGGGTCCTTTTGGTATAAAGGAAGGAATTTCCCAACAATATGTATCATATCTTATAATCATTAGTCATCAGCTTCTACCCCTTTAGCATGAAGATCAGTTTTCGCCTTCAAAGTCATTTTTCCACTGAATTTTTCGTTTTATTCCAATATATGTGCCAAACAAAACCCTAAGGGGGCAAAATAGAACAAATGGGTGATAATCACGTAACTTAGAATATGAACAACTTGTACAATTCATAGAAATATGATGCAGCTGCAAGCTTTATCGTATAATCGCCATAATAATGTTCCTTTGCAATCAGAAATGCAGTGAGACATTATGGAGGAGAATCACATTGGGGGGGCAAACTTGTTAGCTTTTATATAGTCATTTATATATGTCAAATGAGTCAATCATGAATAATTCAGCACTTCAGTAGCTATCTAAAAGCTCTGGAATTCTTTGGCTTTGACAAACCAGCAACTCTCTGAGGTTCACTTCTTTTCCCATCAGAAAGAAACCCCTGAAGACTACTTGCTCTAGAGTAAATTGATATCCCATCTCCCTTTGATATAATCTTTGCCATTGCTACTGATGCCAAATGACGCACTGGCCGACGTGCACCTATAACAAGAAGGGAATATAGCGCATCCTCGCATCTCCTTTGCCACAACAAAATGGAGTCCTGAAAATAAGTTGTTTCAGCATCAGAAGTCAACAAGACCACTAGACTGTCGACTTTGGATTTTAAATATATAAGAATAAGAGGTTAGATATGAAATTCTAGTAAGATCGTGAATACTCAGAATTCTAGTAACTGCAAAATCAAACGATCAAGAATGAACCGCCCTCTCCCGGGGCTAATATAAGTACTTCACGAATGCGCATATTCTCATCAACTAAGGAGAGCTTTATCAACGTTACATAGTTAGTCCTTCAGATTTTTTCCGTTCTATACCATAAAAAACAATCAGGCAAGGTGCAAACTGTCTATCCGATATGACGCGGCTAAAGGTAAGACTTCCTCACAGGTAACATAAAAAGCAAATGGTAGAAAAGGAAAAGAAAAATGTATCAAGGTAAGTCGCCTGATTAATGGATAGTCAAAAAAATTCGAAATATATCTTCCAAGACCAGCACATTACTGCTTTGAAAGTAATAGTAAGAACTGAGCAAAATCACAATACAGTAACTGATTTTAAGGACTCAAAGTGATCCTAGTTTGAGACAGAGGAAGCAGAGTAACGGAATATATAGTATGAGAGATCTGAGAAAGTGTCCCGGGCAGTGGTAAGTGAGGAGATAGCCGAATCACCTTGGTGCCTTCGTCAATGGCGGAGATGAGATCGGATAGCAGATCGAAGCAAAGGAGCGGGTCTGGAGATTGCTGAGCTGCAGAGGCCACAATGGATTCCAGTTGAGCTGCCAGAACGCCGAAGCGCGAGAGTGGCACGTTGTCTCTAATTAAATTCTTCGCCATTGAAGAAGCCATGGCTGGGAATAACCCAGCAGAACAAGAAGAAGAAGAAGAATTAACGAGGATGACAGTGATCAAGTTAACTTCGTTGCAGAGAAGACATGGCCCGAAAACGGGAACTGAATATTGTAAACACTATTGCGATTCGCAGCAAAGAGGCTATTTATATTTCAATACTCCCCTCACAAAAAATTCGAACTTTTGCTAGAAGATGGGGTGAAACCGTGAAAACGGTAAGTAGAAACTGGAAACTGGAAACAAGCGCGTTTCGATGCTGTGCTGATTTTCATTTCATCCTTGTTTAACAAATTACCGGAGTTGTCCTGAACAGGTTTTCGACCAAGGCGGAACCCAGACTTACTGGGTGATTCAATGCTAATTTTTAATTATTTTTAAATTTTAATGGGTGATTATTTAAAATGTTTAATTTTTAAAATAATACCAATATCTATATTTTCTGAAATAAACAAAAGTGCACTTTGGTCCTGTAAATTTATATAAGTTTCTTTTTAGTCTTTTAATTTAATAAAATAGGTTTTTACTTCTCTAAATTAGTCTCAAATAATGTTTTCATGGTAATCATTGTTATTTTAAAATATTAAAGGCAATATGTTAATATTTTGTGAATGTTGGCAAAAAAAATATTTTGTGAATATTCCGTAAGCATTTAAAATTTTGATTTTCATATTTTTTGTTAATAAAACAAATAATATTAAGATTAAAAAATGGGTTAAGGCGCGCCCAATACCCCGAACTATTTACCCATGTGCGTCCAGTGGCCTAAAGTAATTTTGGATGCATCCAGTGTCCTAAACTAATTAAAATGGTGCGTCCATATCCCAAGCTAACAGAAATGTTATATTCAACTGTTATTTTCCTGACTCAGCTTAAAGTTGACCCCAGATATTCTACATGGTAGACACATAGGCACCCGATATGTATTATTCTTACTCAAAAGTCAATGAGGAAGGAAATAAATTCAATTTTGAGTAAGAATAATACATATCAAATGTTCATATGTCTACCATTTAGAATATTTAGGGTCAACTTTAAGCTGAGTCAAGAAAGTAACAGTTAAACATAACATTTCTGTTAGCTTGGGATATAGACGCACCATTTTAATTAGTTTAGGACACTGGATGCACCCAAAATTACTTTAGGCCACTGGATGCACCTGGATAAATAGTTCAGGATGCTGGGCGCACATTAGCCCTTAAAAAATTAAAGAGATAATTTATAAAATTAAAAAATTAAATTGAAATTTGTACAAAGTTAAAAATTAAAAATATATTTTCTTTACCTTAAAATATGATAATATTTAGAAAATTATAAAAATTAAATTAAATGATGGACTTTCCGGTTTTAACATAGACAAGTAAAACAGGCACTTCAGATTCAGGGTTCAGACTAGTGATTTTAATTTTGTGAGGCTCATTAACTTTGTTAAATAATTAATGTCATACAATTTTCAGCATTTGCTTATTTAGTTTGAGCTTGAAATCTCTTTTTTTTTTTTTGAGCAAGTTTGAGCTTGGAATCTTTGAAGTGCCTTTCTTTAATGCTATCCAATGGCAAATCAATTTTAGTACTGATCATAATGATGAACATCATGATATTTATCACTACAGTAAAATCTAAACTATTTAGATAAAGTTTTAATGATCTAAATTTAAAATTTTTAACTAGTGATTTTTAAATAAAAAATTTATTTAAAAAAAAACCTTACAGTTAAGATATTACATTTATTTTAAACTATATATACATGTTGAAGGGAAATATTTTTAAAAAAACAAAAATGTTAAATATTAAATCTCGACCATCTATTTTAAGTTTGAGTGATTGAGATTTTATAGGTATCAATGCTCATCATTGCGATGAGCATTGAAACTAGTTCCATCCAATACCTTTTAAAATGCCACAACTTTCAAGATGTTTTTCTTGTTTCATTTGATAGTTAAATTCTCCACGAAATGAAGCTTTTGAATTTTCTACAATTTTTCAAAGAAAAATACTCTAGAATTGTGTAGTTTTTTTTATTTAAAAAAGTCTTAAAAAATTGAAAACTATACCATTTTATTACTGTAAAACATCAAAATATCACCTTTTTTTTTATGTAAACTCTAATAATCAAAAGAAACAAGAAAAAAATTCTAAAAAGTTGGTACTCCTCTAATCCTTAATATAAGACTTATTTAACTAATTTGATTAAATTAAGAAATTTAGGTAAGTTAGTTAATTATAAGAAATATGACATATTTTTCCTGAAATACCATAATCATCTTTCTTAATGTCCCCTCCTCTCCCTCATCTACTTAATTATAGTTGAGGGAGTATCCATAGGAGTAATTTAGAAAAAACTGATAAATATGATAAATAGGTCTTATATTTAAGATCAAAATCAACTCAAAAATTAGGTTTTATATTAAAGACCGAGAAGTACATTACAAAAGGAAATATTAAAGAGAGGCACATCAAAGGCCCATGCCCATTTATTTTTGAATAGGACCACTCAGCAGGACATAAATTCTAGGGAAAATTTCAATTGAGGACTGCAGATGGGAATTAATTTCAAATAGTCCCCAAAAAATTATGAAATATCACTACAGGACCAAAGGATCAAATTGAAATTAAAATTAGGAGCAAAATTACAATAATACCCCTCATTTTTATTTTTTTAAAAAAATAAATATTAATGGTCGCAGGAGTTCCAGCCACCAACGCTCAGGTGGCCGCCACCGGAGGGAGGTTGAAGCTCTAGTGGCCGGAAGATTTTTTTTTTTTTAAATAAGGTGGCCAAGGAAAAATTTGAACCCATGACCTCTTAACGCACAAAAAATAATGTGACAACTAAGCCAAGTAAACCATTTAGTCATGTGATACAAATAAAAATATATATAACAAAGCAAACGCAAGTGTCCAAGTATAAGTGAACACGTGAAATTCGACAATTTACAAGTAAAATTCGGCAATTTACAATAAAAATTTGGTAATTTACAAATAACATAATGAAATTCATAACCCCAAATACAAGTATTTAAGTGTAAATGAGCAAGTGAAATTTGAAGATTTATAACAAAAGTTTATGGAGTTACAATCCAAATTCGGCTATTCACAAGAAACACAAAAAAATTCACAATTCAAAATGTAAGTGTTTAAGTGTAAATGAATAAGTGAAATTTAGCGATTTACAATTAATTAAAAGCTCTTAATCTCACTTTTTCAATTTTTAAAATTGAGTTTGTTGAAATTTTTCTTCCCCTCATTTTTCCTCTATTTTGCTCGTACCAAACAAACCCTTAAGTTCCAAATAAAACGTATCAATCTCTTTCACCCATATATTCTCCAGTAAATTCACAAGATGAATGTAGAGGGTGAATTTGAAAAGAGATAGACTTGGGAAAAAAAGGAGACGTAGACTCCACACCTTTATTATGGAATGTCAACTCCATGCACAAATCATATCGTCTTGTGTCACTCTCTTTCCGATTGCAGTATCTATATGCATATCTGATTTCTTTTATAAGAAAGACAATAAGGTTAATGTGCAAAATTATTCATAAAGTATTCTCTCATGTGTATTTGACACCGTAAAATTTTTATGGATATAGGGATACTTCGAAATAGAGCAAAAATGTCATTTTCATCTGGCCATATTGATCACTGAATTCATCTAGAAGCCAGTATGGGGTCCCAACATACTGAAGTTATTTGTTGATTGAAATAGTACTTTTACTTCACTTTAGGAGGTGTTTGGATTTTTTCACAAATCGAGACAAATTTCTTTACATATTTATTTGGGGACTGTTTGGATGAAACCAAGCTATAGTTTGGAAAATAGCTTCTAGAAAATAGATTTTGGGGAGAATAGATTCTGTGAAGAATAGATTTTGTGAAAAAGTGATTCTGATAAAGTGAGAGTGTTTAGATAATTGTTATCAGAAACATTTTTTATATGTACAAATTACTAAAAAGGACATAAGTTAATATGATAATTACATAAAAGATAGATTTTATAATATATTTTAATTTGAAGGAATAAAATTGTTAATAATATATAAGATAATGTAATTAATAAATAATTAATATGTGTATATATATTTATAAAATATAAGATTAAATATGTTTAGAGAAAAATGATTTTTTTTCCGCGAACAGAAAAATAATGATTTTCTTTAAAGATTTTAAACATGAAATCCAATAACATTTTTTTCACAACTAGTTTTTGTAACAACATACTACCTCTGATCTTTAATATAATTAATTAATTAATTGTTACTACATGTATATATATTTATAAAATACAAGAGTAAAAATATTTTTGGAGAAGATGAATTATTTTGTTGTGAACAGAAAATTATTAATTTGGGTGTTTTTGGTCAAAATATCCCGTTGTTCCCATCTGACTCCTAATTATCACTCCAATGACTCAGCTTTTACTCTCCAGAAGTAATAATTTTTTACTTCTCACCAAACTATGGTTTCAGCCTTCAAAATTATGGTTTCAGCTGTAACCAAGGTTTTAAAATAATTGAGGCTGTTTGGATGTCATCTTATCCAAATCATGGTTTTGGATGTCATCCAAACAAGCTCTCAGTATACAGTAAAAGTACTTTTAAAACTATGGTTTTTTCTCTCTCTAAATACTCCCTATTAGTAACACTGGCGCGTAATGTTACACTCACAGAAGTTATGTGGTATGCATAAATTTGGCCCCAAAAAAAAATATGCATGAAAGAATACTTTGTGAGTAGATTTGTATCTTAACTTTGAATGATGCTTTTCTGCATATCAAACATCGCATCACTTTGTGAGCTGTGACTGGAAATGATTCAAAGGCCAACAACCTCTGGGGAAATTTTTTTTATCTTTGAAGGAGGTTTCAAAGCATTGAAAGCTATTGTAGTCTGAATCTGTACACTAATTTTCTCTAAGGAATTGGATCTATTGTAACTCCAAAGGGAATTTCTATGGCAGACAAATGGGCCAACCTCACTAAAACGACTGATCTTAGCCCCTCATCACTTCCATGTCATTTTCAGTTTTGGCTCTCCCAAATGTCAGCCATCCCAGAAGGGAAAGAATCAAATCAAAGAATTATCGTGACTTGTGGACGCTAGCAAGCACAAGGGATAGATGAAGAAGATATGCTTGTTTCTAGTAAACTCAACCCTGCTTTTCCCAAAGAAACGTAACCCTCCTAACCGTGCATGCGCACTACTTCCTACCTAATTGGTCCCACACAGCTTCTTTAATTTCTCCCCTTTATTTTTTTCTCGCTCTCAGCTCAGTGCTAAAGTTGGTCAAGGATTGGGCAAAGATGCCATTGCTTCCAAACCAGGACCACTTCATCTACATCTACATCACGTGGATCTAATAATTAACTTGCCATCACTTCTATCTGTCCTCTCAACCACACAAACTAGTATAAGTATACTGATAATTAATTACGTTTATATTCATTAATATATATAAGTGTATATATATTACTCTGTACTACGTGCAGTAATAAGTATGTATATATATAAGTTACTTCTAACATGTTTCACACAGACTAAGAAAAATCTTAAATTTCATTTACTCTCATTTAAAATTCAACAACTTTCTAACTTTATCCCTATTTAATATACATTATACCTCATATAAACAAAGTCAATACAATAATAAATGAAAAGTAAAATTGTCTATCTATACAAAAATTTCTCTCAGTACCCCATAAATAGGACCAAAAAAATGTATTCTCTCCCTACCTTATAAATAGGACTAGAAAAGTTTATTACATGCACGCTTTATTTTTTAATTTACTACTCCTCTACTTCTATTTATAAGTCATTTTCAACATATTTTACACAGAGAAAAAATATTAAACTTCACTAACTCTCATTTAAAATTTAACAACTTTTCAATTTTATCTCTGTTTAATATACATTATACTGTATTAGAACAACGTCAACACAATATTAAATAGAAAATAAAATTGTACATTCATATGAAAATTTTCTCTCTACGTTCTATAAATATGATCCAAAAATTGCTTTTCTCTCTGTTCTATAAATAGGACCAGAAAAGTATTAACTTACAATTTGAAATTTAAAATTTTTCACTTAAAATTTTATTCAGATCAATGTATCTTTCAATGAATAGATTTAGAAAAATTCCACTATTGAATCATTTAATTGTATGTATAGTAGAAGCATGTGATAACTTCATGCAAATCCACACAACAATATGTGACATGCTATAAATTTTGAAATTTTAACACATTCCAAAATTAATGTTAATCTTCATTTGATTCAAATTAATAAGATTTTAATTTCTTTAATATATTAGAAAAACCAATGAAACATATGCTAAAATACAATTATTAACCATGCCAGTAGCCTTGTAACCCAATTGCAAGTAAACTCCTTTACAAATAAGAGGTCGCGGTCCAAACTTATTTTGTAATCTCAGGATATTAGTATCTGCTTCTTTAATTAAAAAAACATATTTTATCAAATACTCCTATATTTAATATGGGCATATCTCATTCACTAGCCACAGGTGTTTCATATTTAATCATTTTCATTATGCTTTTAATAAAAAGTTTATAGCACTTGTAAGGAAGAGATTTGATTGACTAAACTAATATGATACTCTTGTACGGCAGGAAAACATCATTTTTTTGTGAAACTCAGGAACTCTCACCAATAATTAACCAAAGAGTTGGTCTCAGAAAACTTGAAACTCAAATCATAAGTTATACTTAATATTTTGCTTTTGTGCCTAAATTAAAGTTAAAATCACCTATTACACACGACAGTTACCAACTCCTACAACAAACACGCTAAACTCTTGTAACTAAATCTATGTGCACAAATTTTAAAGATTATTCAGAGCTATCTTCACTATTGGCTGATGAAGCTCTTGATATGATTGATCATTTCCTGGGTACGAGACTGTGAAAGATGAGAGTTAGTCAGAATCTGAAACGCATGGCCTACACCTTTGAACATCACAGTCTCCACCTTCTTCCCTGATCTAGCCAAAGCGTCAGAAAACCCCAAGTTTCTGTCTCTCATAATATCCAATTCTGATACACACACCAGAACACCAGAAACCCTCAAGTCTCTCAGCTTGGAGAAGCCATTAACAAGAGGGTTACAATAATGGTGGTCACGGTTTGCCCCGAGAGGAAGTGATAATCGCCAGTAAGTATCTGAAGCTGATAGAGAAAGAAACTGGTTTGAATATTGCTTCTCTGATATGGTTCTTTCTTCTCCTCCAAAGAAAGGCTGGATCAAGATTATACCTCTGAGAGATAAAGAGGTGTTTGATGAAATGCGTGAGGCAACATGGAAGGCTATGTTGGCTCCTGCGCTGTCACCTGCAAGATAAAGGGAAGATAGGTTGGTCTGACTAAGCCACCATTTTTGCCCACTAGAAGTGTTCAGAGATTCTTGTTTCAACCACATGACAGTGTTGAAACCGTCTTCATATGCAGAAGGAAGACGACTTTCTGGGGCTAAATGGTATTCCACTGAGAGAATGACACAGTTTGCTTTGGAAGCAACATTGGTTAAGAACTCATGGTAGCAGCTCCAAGAAGCAGAGCCAACACAGAACCCACCACCGTGGAAGTAAATCAACAAAGGAATAAGCTTGGTGTTAGAGCGTGCTGGGACATATAAACGTGCCCATAAGTTGGTCTCTTTGTTGATGAAGATGTCTCTGGAAGTCACAGAACGACATGGCTGTGATGAGCAGGAGACACAAGGAACAATTGGAGGCCTTTCTACATGACCATCTCTGTGAACTCTAATGAGTCCCTGAATTTCCTCAGTGATGACTCCTTTCTGCTGGTAAGTGTTGTTAACATGTGAGTTTTGTCTGTAGGATATGGCTGCCATTGTTAGGACACTGAAAACTTGAGAAGAACTAAAATATTTAGAATTTTGGAACTCTCTGTGATCCCAATTTGCCAAACTAGTGCTCTGGTTTTTCCGGTTTTATAGAGAGCTCAGCAGATACTGGTAGAGTGTCAAAAGCTTCTTCAAGTTGGAAGATGCTCAGTCATGAAGAATCTTGCATGAGGTTAGAAAATCTCAGTGTACTTTTGACATTTTGAGAGTTGTACATCTTTTCTACGTGCTATAAACCATAGATATACACACTTAGTGTTTTAATCCACAGAAACTGAAGTATGAACCAATAATGGGAATCTGATGGTGATGGGGAATGAGGATAAGCTTTATTCCAATCTGATGGAGGTGAGTGTATCATACTATCATTTCGTGAAGACTTTTCTGGATTGAGCATGCGTGACAACTTAGAACTGTTACTATATGAACTCATTAAAATTGTGATGAGTTTTTTGTGACCCTTCTCTGTGATAGGCTTATCTTCATGAACCCGTACATTGACGTGATGGGCTTCATTGGCGGTGGCTTCATATTATCCTCTCACAACACTCTTTTTCCCCCTTTTGTTCTTTATCTTTTGGCGTATGCTCAATTATGTTCTCCACCTCCTACTAGATAAGGGCTTATGCACATATCATTGGTGATTTATAAATATAGTACGATTTTATGTAGATTTAATCATCAATAAATCTCTACAATAACCTAGTATGTGTTTCGTAATTTGTTGGTTTTGATCAAAACATGATTTTGACTAAAAGCTGATTTCACATATAGTATTATTTTGGTGGCTTTGATCAAAATCAACACAATACCAAACATATGCTTAGTTATTAAAATTTCTCTAACAAGGTCAATTCCAACTATCCATAAAAAAAAAAAAGGAGACTTTTGTTATTAAAGGGAGAATTAATCTGCAAGTTCCCATAATTTGACTTGATTTTTAATTAGGTCCTTATAATTTTGTTTGTTTTTAATTAGGTTCCTATAGTTTTTGTTATCAATCTATTAAGAATTTCATTTGATTTTTAAATCAGATTCTTGTAGTCCCCCCCCCAATTAGCCTCCTGAAATTACAGAGACATTATTAAAATCAAATGAAAAAAATTACACAATATCGATTAAAAGCAAATGAAATTATAAAGATTTGATAAAAAAAGAAAAAAAATTACAAGAATATGATTAAAAATCGGGTGCAATTTTACGGATTAATTTTCTCAAATGTTTAACTATTATAAGACTACCTATTGAATAGACGATGGGATAAGGTATTTAAATACCTTAAAATTATATACAAAGGATCACTTAGTACTTGAAACTTTTTTTTACTTTTAAATACCCTTGAAGTTTATTTTCACAGTAAAAGTACTCAGTTTGTTATCCGTTATTAAATCTGATCGTTAAATTATGTAGTTTGACTGATATCTTTAACAGTCAGATTTAACAACGGATAACGGTTCAGGGTAACAATACTAGGAAATAAAACTTCCAAGGCATATGAGTGTTTTAAAAAAAAATCCAAATACTAAGTACTCCTTCATGTATACTTTCAGAATATTCAAGTACCTTATCCCCATAGACGATTCATAACTTATAAATAGCATAACTTCTTTTGTAAGTTTTCACATGTAGACACATGCAGCATTTGAGCCAAGATCTTCTAGATGTTAGATCTATATCATTTGTGTGAGACTTTTACTCACAGTTAAATTCTCCACTATCTAGCATACGTAGCAGCTGGCGTATACAGCAGATGTCAGAATCTATGGTGTTTAATCTCTTTTAGTGAAGATCACTACACAGAGATTTTGTGGTTGACCTGCGAATAGACCAAATCAAAATTGGAGAAAAGAAAGAACATTCCTAGCTTAATTCCAAGTACATGCATGCAACTTGAACAGTACAACTTTATTCCCTATATATCCCCTAATATCTCTCTTGACAAATAATATATGCTTTCTGATTCTATATGCAAAAAGCTGGTTTTTCAAAATTGTCTCTTTCTTTGGGATATGGAAAATCAACTAACTAGCTTCTGGGTTTGACAAGGAACAGAATTCAAACGCAAATTATAAAGGTGCATGAATTGGATTGGATTTTATTCCCTTTATGTATTTGCATTTTCGAATCTCTCTCCTCTTAATTTCCTTCTTCGATCAGTTTTCTTTGATTTTCTCTACACGTCTCCATTTTCTGTTCTCAACTTTCTGTGCTTCCAAACAGTCGGTGGTTATATAACTAACATTGTGATGAGCCAACCATATATTGTAGTGATGATTCAAAGAGTGTGATTTTGAAAATTGAAGCTCGATTGGATTCTCTCATGGTGGCTTCTTTTTTCTTTTCTTTTCTTTTTTGTTTTTATCTCATAGCACCACGTTCGGTTTCACATTGTAAAATGTAAACTATAAACTATATGCTATAGTACTTTTGGTATATAAAAACTTATCAGATACCATTGGGCAATTAATTAATTTACCAAACCGGTATTTATGAGTAATTTTTGATAACTAATTTCTTTACTAATCATAAATTAGTTATATGTCTCCTATATTTAAGAACATAATGAGTATTTTGTTGCAGTTATATAGTCCTGAGCTCATGCATATTTCCCCCCCTTTAAATGTGTGTTAAATATCATAACTCGAAAGGAATTAAAATTAATTAATGTTGATTATTACGCTAAAATGTTATAGTGAATTTGTCACCAGTATGTATTAAAAAAACAATTTTAGCATTGTAGGAAAATGACAAAAAAAGAAGTTAGAAATTTGTAAATATTAAATAAAAATTTGTTATTATTTACAAATTTAGTGTTGTCAACACCAAATAAAATCATCAAACTTGATTTGGAATTTATTGATTTTCAATTTCGTTTTTTGTCATTCGTCCAAAAAGGTATCATCCCACTAAGAAAAACATATCCCTAGCTAATTGTACTTATATGTGTACTTAATATTATATTATTATTTGACAAAAGTCTAAAACGTTTTGTGACTTATCATGCTTTTCTTTTTTGGCCAAAACACTTGTCGTGTTGTAAGAATATTTTTCCTAATAAGTTAAAAATCACAATGAAATGTAATTTTCTTTTTTTGAAATGCGACAAAGGAATAAAAGCAAGAAAAGAGAATATTGAAAAAAGATAAGCCTCACGTCTAGTACAATTTGTTTGGTATGCAGCTCAGAAGAAGCATCATCTATCATCTATCATCTATCATCTATACAATCAAATATATGAACATTGATGCTTCAATTGGTCACTGTTACGTGTCTGTGTTGTCTTCTACTCCTCCCCGGTCATGACACTGTAACTCATGACATTAGTTTAGCGAGGAAGACCGCAAATAACGCTTAATGAAGTCATTACACAAAACGTTTTAGTTAACAATATATATAAGGAGTTGATTGTTGATAGAGTACAATGACGTTGTGTGATTCATGTAACCGATCTCACCTAGTGAGATAAGGCTTTATTGTTGTTGTCTGGTTAGTCTAGTGAGATGAGGTGCTATGTTCTTTAAACAACTTTCAAAATTTGAAACTTAGAGTTGTAAATGGAGCTGCCAGCTTGAGGCGTCACCTCCTGTATGAACGTCTGCAATACTCTAAAATAGGTTAGTTGGCCGTCAATTATTTATTTATATGATACTCATTTAGTTATAAATATAAAACTAAATATTTAATTTACAGATATTAAAAAAATTATTTGGGTTAATTAGTTGTAAAAAAAATACTCATTTTACTAATATATTTCTTTTAATAAGTCATAATGAAAATTACCACATGTGGAAAATCTGTTTTTAATGAGTATGTGTAATCAAATTAAAAGGAATAGTTTGAGAATAATTTGAGTACTTAGGATTGGAGGAATATCATATGTACTAATACTAATGATCTCAAATTACAAACAAGATCAAATCTATCAACCACACCTGAATTCACTTTTTGTTTATCCGCAATAGTGACTTTACCTCCAACTCAAAATTAAGATTCTAGACAATTGCCACGCGGAGTCGACCCCTCTGTACAGTTTGAATCAAAAGCAATTAATTCCTGCATTTCCTTCAAGCACATCAGCAGGAAGATATTCTCATCCGTGCAATAATACCATTATGTATGGGATATACTCCTCCTGTGATTAATATAGAACCTAATTATTAAGTTAATTTTGGTTCTAAATATAAGACCTCTTTCTAATATTTATTAGTTTTTTTTAAATTACCCCTATTGAGACTCCTTCAAGCATAATCAAGTAAAATAGGAATGAAGGATATTAAAAAGGATTATTATAGTGTTTTAGAAAAAACATGTCATATTGAAAAAAGATAAGTCTCCCATCTAGTACAATTTGTTTGATATGGAGCTCAGGAGAAGCATCATCTATCATCCATACCTATACAATCAATATATGAACATTGATGCCTCAATTAGTCACTATTACGTGTCTGTGTTTTGTCTTCTACTCCTCCCCGGTCATGACACTATAACTCATGTCATTAGTTTAGTGAGAAAGACCGAGAATAACGCTTAATAAGATCATTGCACAAGACGTTCTAGTCAACAATATATCTAAGGAGTTGATTGTTGATAAAGTATAATGGCGTTGTGCATGTAACTGACCCCATCTAATAGGATAAAGCTTGTTGTTATTGTCTGGTTAGTCTAGTGAGATGAGACGCTATGTTCTTTAAGCAACTTTCAAAACTAGAGTTGTAAATGGAGCTACTAGCTTGAGGTGTCACCTCCTGTATGAACGTCTGTAATACTCTAAAATAGGTTAGTTGGCCGTCAATTATTTATTTATATGAACTCATTTAGTTATAAATATAAAACTAAATATTTAATTTACAGATATTAAAAAAATTATTTGGGTTAATTAGTTGTAAAAAAAATACCCATTTTACTAATATATTTCTTTTAATAATTCATAATGAAAATTACCACATGTGGAAAATCTGTTTTTAATGAGTATGTGTAATCAAATTAAAAGGAATAGTTTGAGAATAATTTGAGTACTTAGGATTGGAGGAATATCATATGTACTAATACTAACGATCTCAAATTACAAACAAGATCAAATCTATGAACCACACCTGAATTCACTTTTTATTTATCCGCAGTAGTGACTTTACATCCAACTCAAATTAAGATTCTAGATAATTGCCACGCGGAATCGACCCCGCTGTACAGTTTCAACCAAAAGCAATTAATTCCTGCATTTCCTTCAAGCACATCGGCAGGAAGATATTCTCATCCGTGCGGTAATACCATTATGTATGGGATATACTCCTGCTGTACTTAATATAGAATCTAATTATTGAGTTAATTTTAGTCTTAAATATAAGACATCTTTGTAATATTTATTAGTTTTTCTTAAATTACTCCTATTGATACTCTTTCAAGTATAATCAAGTAAAATAGGAAGGAAAGATATTAAGAAAGATGATTATGATATTTTAGAAAAAATATGTCATATTTCTTATAATTGACTAACTTGCCTAATTTTTTTAATCTAGTCAAATTAGTTAAATAGATATTATATTAAGGATCATAGGAGTATATTATTATTTCAACTGGTTATATATTTACATTTTGTTCCCAATTGCGATGTGTTGTTTATTAAT